AAGTCAGCGGGCATGTTTACAGAAGTGGCTACTTTGTAGGTCAGTGGGTCCTAAGGGAGTTCCCTGGGGGTGTGCTGAAATGAAGGGGCAGGTGACAGCATGAATGGGGTTATGAGGACATGATCTAATCAGGGGCAGCTTTCCTTGAAGAGGAAACATTTATGCTGAGACTAGAATGCTGAGAGGGACCATCCAGAAGCAGGGACAGTTGGGAGGGAGGACTGGGTGATGCAGACTGTAGAAATGGCATGTCCTGGCACAGTTGGGAAGGAACTTCAGAGGTTTGCTGAAGTCCCAGAAAGATGGTATATTAAGTCCAACTGCAGCTGTAACAAAAAACAAAAGCTCCAGTGTCTGAAAGCTACTCAGGTTTACTCCCTTAGAGCGCTAGAAATGAGAAGTCCATAGGACATTCTGTCCTCCCTCTGGAGGCTCTAGGAGTGAGTTGTTTCCTTGTCTTCCAGGAAGCACCTGCATTCCTTGGCTCCTGGCCTCTTCCTCCATTTCCAAAGCCAGCAATATAATATCTTCTTTCCTTCCTGTCTCCCTCTCTGTAAGGACACTGTGATTACTTTTGGCTCACTGGATAATCAGCCTCAACTCCACATCTCAAAAAAGTTCATCACAACTGCAAAGTTCCCCCTGAATATAAACTATCTAATTCACATATTCCAGGGATAAGGATGTGCATATTTAGGGGATGGGCATGATCAATCTGCATCCTGGAACCAGGTAGGAGTCCTCTGGCTTAGTACCTGTCCCATCACTTAGACCTCAACCCATCTATTCCTTTCTGGGCAGTTGAGAAGGTGGAGGACAATGGTTGGGGGTTGAGGTGGGACTGAATGGATCCCAGTGCTCTATGAACTTATACACACACACGCACACACAGAGTCTAACACTGACTGTTAACCCTGCACTAACTGGAAGTATGTGAGTCAGATTACTAAGCGTTCAAACATAAGACTAAAAGTTTGCTGACAGGTTAACAAATGGGCTGCCTGACCAATAGCTCTAAAAGAGTAGAAATGAGGGTGGAGCTGAGCCAGAGAGGACCTTCATCCTACATTCCTGTTTCCCCTGGACTCTCAAAGTGAGGAAGCTCAGTCTCTTTGACAGATGTGGTAGGGATTAGGGGAAGTGCTTATTCAAGCACTGATGTTGGTCTCACCCTCTGAGTTTCTGGATCAGTAGGTTTGGCGTGGGGCTCAAAAGTCACTTTTTAAAAAGTTCTCAGGGCTTCCCTGATGGCCCAATGATTAAGAACCTGCCTTGCAATTCAGGGGACACTAATTTGACCCCTGGTCTGAGAAGGTCCCACCTTTCATGGACTACTACTGAGCCAGTGATCTAGAGCCAATGAATTCTACAACATGAGTTGTTGTAGAAGCCACAACAACTGAAGCCGGATTGCTTAGAGCCTGTATTCCACAGCAAGGAATGCCACCGCAGAAATAGCAGGCACATCAAAAACTAGAGTGTAGCCCCACTCTCTGCAGCTAGAAAAAGCCTGAAAGCAGCAGTGAAGACCCACCACAGCCAAAAAGAAAATAAGTGGTAAAATAAATCTTTAAAAATAAAATTTTAAAAAGTTCTCAATTGCTGTTGATGCTGCTGGTTGGGGGACAAGACATTGAGAGCCACTGTAGCAGATGGAGCTACTCCATTGTTATTTTATCTGTACAGTTTTTGGAATAATAGAGTCTTCAGAGAAAACAATGTGGAAAACATTTAAATTTCATGCTCCTTCAGACTTCCTCCTGGAAGTGAAATGCCTGTGACTCCAGGATTTTATTACAAAGCTCAAAGTAGATAGAACACTGCTGGCACAGTGCAGTATTTAAGAGCATCAACAAAAAGAACTTCCAGTTCTATGACTTAGAGGCTGTGTGCCTTGGAAGAAGTTACTGCCCCTCTCTGAATCTCCCTCTTCTCTACTAAATGGGTACCATACTGGATTCAGATAAAAACACCAAGCCCAGAGTTTGGTGCAGAATAAATCCTCCATAAATGGCAGGGCTATCTGACATTCAAAGACCACAAGCCTTGAAATAGCCAAGGTCACAGGGACAACCAGAACCTGAGGCAGAGTCTCACATGCCAGCCATCCCCTCTTCCAAACTGTGTTGTTTTGATTCTAGAAACAAGTGCCTTAAGAGAAAACCCTGGGAACCAAATTCACCTCATTGACTGGGACAAGCCTGGTGGCCAACTGGACAGTTACTTATAGTTGGCTATGGCTCAGGCTCCCAGGTGGCCCAGTGGTAAAGAATCTGCCTGCAATGCAAAAGACCCAAGAGGCAGAGGTTCCATCCTTGGGTTTGGAAGACCTCTGGAATAGGAAATGGCAAACTTCTCCAGTGTTGTTGCCTGAAAAATTCCATGGACAAGGAGCCTAGCAGGTTACAGTCCATGGAGTAGCAAACATGCACACATGCACCTATATGACTTAGACTCAGGATTTCTCTGATTGGCACTAATCAAGGGAGCAGATGTGAAGGAAAATCTCAATCAGACTTCTCCACCCAGCAACTTTCTATTCTTTCTTAGAAACCATCTGTACGTACAGGTGTAGGTATACAGACACTAGGATAAGTCATGCTTAAATGGAAAAGACTAAGCCTTATTGACCTACAAACTATTTGGAGCTTACTCCAAGGTCCCAGTTCTGGCCAGACATTACCTTGCTCACAGCTCAATTCAGACCCTGGACCTCAGGATCTTTGTTTGAGATAGAGATTGTTTCTGAGGGTCCTGTGACACAGTAGTTACCCTGGGTGATTCCTGAGTCTGATTTTCCTGCTGGGTCATGTTTATCCTGGACTTGGGCTCTCACAGCCACTGCAGAAGAAGCTTGGCTGCATGTTGTTTCTGAAACCCAAGCCCCCAACTCCCACTTGGAGGTCTTCTCACCCATTGCTCACTACAGAGAACAGTTTTCTTCTCTCTCTGGTATAAACCTCCAGTCTCAGGTCAAACTGCCTGGCATCTTCCTGCAAGAGACAGGAATCTCATATCCCCAGAGCCAGGTGGTGGGTGAGTGAAGGACCATAGGTGGAGGCCAGGGAGACCTGGAGGGCAAGGGAGCCCACATCAGAGAAGCTGTTTCTGAGTTAATGCTGAGTGATGCCCTTTAAGAAGGTGCATCAGTGCTGCTACATGTTTCTTTTACTATTTTTTTCCCAAAGGACATTAGGGAATAAATTTTGAAATAAAATCTGATTTTCCTCTTTCTGAATTACTTCATTCTGTATGACAGACTCTAGTTCCATCCATAACTATGCATGTGATACAATTTTCTTCCTTTTTTAAGGCTGAGCAACATTCTGTCATATATATGTCGCATCTTCTTTAACCTCTCCTCCGTTGATAGGCATTTAGTTTACTTCCACGTCCTGGCTATTGTAAATAGTGCTGCAATGAACAATGGGATACATGTATCTTTTGGAATTATGATTTTCCTTGGGGATGTGTCCAGGAGCAAAATATATATGGAATCTAGAAAAAATAGTACAAATGGACTTACTTATAAAGCAGAAATAGAGACATAGATGTAGATAGCAAACATATGGGCAACAAGGAAGACAATGGGAGGGATAAACTGAGGGACTGGGGTTGACATGGACACATTACCATGTATAAGGTAGATAACTAATGAGAACCTACTGTATAACACAGGGGATAAAAAAATGTACAGTCTGTTTATGGGATGTGTGTTAATTAACCTTAAAAATGCAACCAATGGATTGCAGCACAACAGGCTTCCCTGTCCTTCGCCATCTCCTGGAGTTTGCGCAAACTCCTGCCTGTTGATTCAGTGATGCCATCCAACCATCTCATTCTCTGTTGCCCCCTTCTCCTCCTGCCCTCCATCTTTCCTAGCATCAGGGTCTTTTCCAATGAGTCGGGTCTTCATATCAGCTGGCCAAAATATTGGAGTTTCACTCATCTTCTCGCTCTATTAAATGATTACCATATAATCTGTAACTCAGAAAAAAGCACTGAGCCTACAACTTGGTGCAGAATAAACCCTCTGTAAATTACAGGGCTGCAAGCATAATCAAGACAATATCTAAGGCCACATCTGATGGAGAGCCTCCCATGCCAGCCATTTCCTCTGCCAATTTGCGATGCTTAGATTATGAAAGCCAACACTTTAAAAGCAAGCCTGAAATATTGTAAAGTAATTAGCCTCCAACTAATAAAAATAAATGAAAAAAATAAAATAAAATCAGTGTCTTTAGAAGCAAAAAATAAATAAATAAAAATAAAAGCAAGCCTGGGTGTCTCTGCCTGGAGTTCAACCTATTGGCTGGGAAAAGTCTGTCTTCTGATGGCCAATTTGACAATTCTTTAACATTGGCTTTGGCTTCAGGATCAGGGTTTTTCTGTTTGGCACTAACTTCAGGGAGCAGGAGTGAAAGAAATCTAAATCAGATTTCCCCATCCAATGACTTTCTCTTTATTCTTGGAAATCTTATGGGGCCTGTTGGTGATTGTAGGTTTAGGGATGTTCAGAGAATTCATGCCTGAATTGGAAGGCTAAGCCCCGTTGACCTACAAACACTTTGAGGCTCACTGCCAGGTCCCATTAAATTTCTTGCAGCTCATTTCATGCCCTGGGCCTTGAGAGAGTTCTTTTTTTGAAAAATAGTTTTTGGGGTTCTTGTGACACTATAGGTGCCCTGGATTGCTCATGAATCTGGATTTTAATGCTGGGTTTTGTTTATTCTTGATATGGACTCCCATAGCCACTGGAGAAAAAGCTTGGGTATATGTGGTTCCTGAGACCCAGGACTCCAACTCCCACCTGGGAGTTAACACCACCCCCCAGGCCCCATTTCCCACTGAAGTTGTGGGAGAACAGAATTCTGCTCTCCCTGGTGCAAATCCCCAGTCTCAGATCCAATTGTCTGGGATCTTCCTACAGGAGGCAGGAGCCCCACATCCTTCAGGGCCAGCTGGGGGGTTAGTGAAGGATGACAGGTGAGTAGGGAGACATGGAGGGCACGGGACCTAACATCAGTGCACTGCTTTTGAATGAATGCTGCGAGAAGGTCTTCAGGAAGGTGGGTTCAGTGTTGTTACATTTTTCTTTAAATATTTTCCCCCCAAGGGACACTGGAGAGTAAATTGTGATGTAAAATATGGTGTTCAGTCTCTGGTCACAAATTTTATTTAAAATCTTGTGTGTGATATAAATGTGGCCACCCTGTAGCCTCTGGTTTGAGAAAACTGTTAAGCCTGGAACTCTAACCTGTCCCACAATGATCTTTATAATATTAGAGGAGAAAATGCATGTCTTTGTTTTTCTAGACCTGAGACCTCCCTCGGTCTGTGGGCTTGGGTGGGGATGTTGCTGGGGCTGGAATTGCCTTTGCACCCCCATGATTCTGCCACACCAAATACAAAATTTAAATTTCATAAGAGACATTTACCATTAGCTCTTGAGTGGGTATGTGTATGATTTTATATGAATAAGATTTTGTTTCAGGTGCTATTCGCTACTTGATATTTCTTTTTACTTAAGGCTGTCACTATTTCAAATCTAGTGTGACCTAATAGATTACTTATTTTATTTCTCCATACTTGCTTCTGCCTCATCCTTCCCAGTCTCAGGAAGACACCGTCAAATTGTAGGGGATTCCATGGAAACTCCTTTATCCTTCCATTTCAACCTCCTTGTAAAAGCAAGGTGCTTCTGATTTTGCCCCCAGAACATCCTCAAAGCTGTTCTGGGGGCCACTCAAGTGCTGCCCCTCACCTTCTTCCTGGAGCAGCAAAGGGTCTCCTGCTGGCGTCCTGTTTCCTTGTTAACCCTCCCAACATGGTCCAGCAGCAATCAGGTGAACTGGGAAATGGGCAGCAAGTCATGTCTTTACTCACAAAATAAGTATCAAAGTAAGTCAAGTATTATCAATGTAATATCAATAATTACTTAGAAAAGGGGCCAATGTGGTTATAGTTCTGCTCCATGAGTCCAGAGAATATGCCTGAGGTTAATTGCCATCTCAGGTGCATCCTCTGTGGGAAGAACTGCAAAGACAATGTGTACCGGTAGCAGCTGCTATTTTGGGGACAAGGTTAGATGGGACTGATCCATGCTTATTTCACTCCTCACCCTAAGTTCACACAGAGTCGACACTGACCACCTTCACTGGCTCTCAGACATGAAAATGTACTCCTTCACAGAACTAACTAGTCATGTCTCCCTCTGCTCATGTTTTCAGATTTAGTCTTTGCAAGTCAGTTTGCTGTCCTGATCTCAACATTTTAGGAGGAAAACCCTCAAAGAAGACTGTCTCCTAGGCCACACCTGTTTATTTTCTAAATATCACCCAAAGAAAAGCCTTTAATGTCTGTCTTCCCCAGATAAAAAATAAAAACATCCATGAGGCTGTTTGAGTCATTCACAGGGTCCCTTTAGGAATGGCCACTGCCACACTGCTCCTTAGTACTCACTAGGATTTTGACCAGATATGCTTTAGAAAAGTCAGGACTTAAGCCTGAATAGTCAACTGCATCTCCAATTGCACAGTCCTTGCTCTCTGATTACACTCACAATCTGCTGTGTTTCCCATATAATCCCTAAGAGATAACTTGGAAGCAAAAGGAGTTAATTTGGTTTCCTTAGGAAATGACACCCCTACCTTTATGAAGCTGTTTAATTTTGATATTTAATAAATTTATTTGGCCAAAGATCTCCCAACAATGATGTATTCAGGACACTGCTTTTGTTTTTGTTTTTTGTATGGTGTCAGGAACTCATAACCTTTCTCCTACTCAGAAATATAACTGTCCATTTTAGCAAAACTCAATCCAATTGTATGGTGTGAATCAAGGAATAAGTCCTGGATTCCTCACCAGCCACCAAACCCCATTCTTTCTCTTTCAAGAATGGAGTCTGACTCAATCAATTCACCAGGAGATTAACAGTAACCCAATCAGGATTAACCTGATGGACACTCTGGAATCTAATCAGGTAGTGCCTTGTGATTGGAAGTTAGCAGTTAGAAGGAGGGCAGATGTGGTTAGAAAGTTCTATAAAAGCCTGAAGCACCAGAGAAGAGACACAGAAGCTTTTCACTGTAGAGTCAATGCCTGTGTTCTCCACTAGGTTTGATCTGAGCAGCCCCGCAACCACATCAGATCTGGTAAGTTACCAACTTCAGGGAAGATATTCTGCTAATGCCAGCAGGTATGAAAGATGGTATGCAGTCTGACATGACAGGAAGAGTTTTCCTCTTTCTTTTCTTTTGGTTAACAAATTTTAGGCTTTCTTTTTGGCTCAAAGTGTAGCTTTGCCTTCATCCTAAACATTTTGATTTTGGCTTTGGTTTATATCAATTACATGTCTTATCAAGCAGTTTTTTCTGGATAATAAAAGACATCTAACTGTTTGAAATGCTATTTCTTGACATTAAAGTTTTAATCTATGTACAAATGGCATTTCTTTTAAGGTATCTCCTTAATCCTTCCAATCAAAGTTAACTGTGGGAACTGAGGATGGAAGTTCAAGTTCCACATGACCTTCCATCCCCATAATTTGGGCCCTGTGTGATTCTTTACATGTTTTCACCTTTGAAAAAGGGAGTCAACTTGTTCAATCTCCTGATACAAATGCACAACAGGGAAACACATTAAGCAAAGCAGTGGAAGGAAATGAATGAGCTACTGGTTGCCTTTCTTCATTCTTCATACTGGAGAGATTCTTGCTCTAGTGCCAGGAGGGGCAGACCTATGGCTTAGTGCCTACCAAATCCAGACTGGAAGCCAGACAAACTGAGTTTCTTCCATTCTGGTTCATCATTTCCAAGGCAATGACTTTGGCTCTGATTTAATTTCCCTGAGGGATGGGGAGAGAGACCACCCTTATGGGTATGATCAACCTGAGAAGAATGCTTTGTCCTCTTGCATTTTCACAGGATTCCATTCAGAGAAGAGTCATGAGTGCTTACAACCCACCAAGACTTGTGAATTTGGCAGCAATGAGCCTAGTGAGAGATGAGGCCTTGGCCATCTCCTCTTTGGAGTATCTGCCCATGGAGCTCTACCCACCACTGTTCATGGCCGCCTTCTCTGGCAGACACAGTGAGACCCTGAAGGCCATGGTGCAAACTTGGCCCTTTGCCCGCCTGCCTCTAGGAGGACTGATGCAGAAGCCTCACCAAGGAACCATACAAGCAGTGCTGGGTGGTCTTGATGTCCTGTTGGCCCAGAAGGTTCACCCCAGGTGAGTCCAATCCAGGTAGTTTGGTAGGATCTTGGGTGTCCTAGAAGACACTGCTGGTGTCAGAGACAGTGAATGACCAAGGGTTGGACCAGAGACTTCTGAAAAGGCTCAGAAGCTTTGAGCATTGCTGAGATCACATTGGGAAATACCTTACAAAAGTATAATGAGAAGGATGGAAGAGGAAAAGGAGCTGGAGGAAAGTGAGCAAGAGAGGAGAGAGAAAAGACAGAAGGTGATATCAAGAATGTGAAGTAAAAGCACAGATGGGAAGTTAGGATGTTGCTTAAATTCTGAGGCTGTAGTTTCATTTAATGTATATTTTAAAGAATCTCACCTGATCTTCTGTTTCCCCACAGGAGATGCAAACTGCAGGGGCTGGACTTGAGAAATACTGGCCAGGACTTCTGGAACATATGGTCTGGAAACATGAACCATGTGTCCTCAAGCTCACTGATGGCACCAGTGGCTGAGGACATGTCAAGGACAAAGCACCCATTGACTCCCTTGGTGGTATACATAGAACTTTGTCTCAAGACAAAGACCTCGATCAAATTCCTCACCTACCTCCTCAGGTGGGTGCAGCAACGGAAAGGCTCCATACACCTGTGCTGTAAGAAGATAAAAATTATTTCAAGGTCCAAGGAAAATATTAAGAAAATTCTCAGTATGGTGAAGCTGAACTGTGTACAGGAGGTAGAATTGAGTCTCAACCAAAAGCTGTCCACCCTGGCCAAGTTTTCTTCTCTCCTGGGCAAGATGAGAAATGTTCAGAGACTCTTTCTCTCCCCGATTCATGGGTCTGTTGCTGAGGAACAGGACCATCAGGCTTTTCTGCAATTTACCTCTCAGATCCTCAGGCTGCAGCACCTCCAGGATCTCCATATGGAAGGTCCAGCTTTCCTCGAAGGCCGCCTGAACCAGATGCTCAGGTAAGGGACCAGCACTGGTTGAGTAACAGTGAACACAGTAGTGAAACATCAAATGCACTGTCTCATTTGCTGCTCTACTGTGACCTGTGGTCACACATAAGCAGAACAATCAAGGTGTGAGAAAACCAGTATAGAAGCTCTGGAAAGGGACACCAGGTTAGGAATCTATGAATTAAGGGGGTGTAAATATAATGCAGGCATGTATGTGATTTCTTCTTTGGGAAGAGATATCTCTGTTCTGATGACTTAGGTAAACAGGTTAGTGAAGGTGGCATTGACAAGGACAAACCACATCAGACATTAGCATTTCTAAAAAGAAACTCTGTGGTCACTAATCTGTGACCACAGTGAGCCTGTCTTAAAGTCCCAGCCCTTAAAGGTGGTCTTGTGTTGCATATAAGGTAATATTCTGGAAGTGCATGATTCTGAAGTTAATGGTAAAGCAGAAGCAAAAGGAGAGTGAACAATGATAGAAGGTTTGTAGATGATGCCTGGTTAGAAGTTGCAGAAGTTTGGCAGCCCCAGGGCAATGTATGGAGTCTTATTGTTTCTACAAGTCTTCCAAGTGCTTGACCTGGCCAGAGATACAGGCATCTGGAGCCCAAGCATTGACTGAAGAGATCTGAATTAAAAGCATATTTATCTCATCTCCCAGTACTAAAATTCAGTGGTGTCCACACTTGATGGTGACTGTCTCAGGCTCTCCTTTGAGCATTTCTAGTGCATCCATTATCTTCATTCATGGTCCTAAGGAAATGGAGTATGTTGTACTCTGCTTGACATATGAGGAAAAGGAGTTTTCAAGATTCTTTGAGCTTGATCCAGTCACAAAATGAAAATGGCAGGACTTAGGTAAAATGAGACTGGACATTCTGGGTATTGAGTTTTATCAGACGGTAATAACAAATTTGGCTTCAGGCCAATAATTTACCTCTCAAGTGGAGATCACTTATCACTCTGGTTTTCCATATCTAATTGCTAGTTTTTCTTTTTTTTCCCTCCAGATGTCTGAAGACCTCCTTGTACAACATCTCAATAACCAACTGCCTGCTTACAGAATCAGACTTGACTCATCTGTCCCAGTGTAGGAACATCTGTCAGCTAAAGGGCCTGAATCTGAACGGTGTTACCTTGACCAACTTTCGTCCTGAGCTCCTCCAAGTTCTGCTGGAGAAAGTTGCAGGCACTCTTGAAGAGCTGGACTTAAACCTGTGTGGGATCATGGACTCCCACCTTATGGCCATCCTTCCTGTCCTGAGCAGCTGCTCCCAACTCAGGGTCCTCAGCATATGTGGGAACCTCATCTCCATGGCTGTCCTGGAGAGTCTCCTGTGTCATACTGATGGGTTGTCTGATTTAAGTCTAGAGCTTTATCCAGCCCCTCGGGAGAGTTACAGTTCTCTGGGTATTCTTCACCAGGAGAGACTTGCCCAGCTAAAAGCTGAGCTTTGGGAGATCCTTACAGACTTAGGACGTCCCAGGAAGATTTGGGTTAGCCCCAGCCCCTGTCCTTACTGTGGTGATGACATGTGTGATCACTTGAGTCCCAATGCATAATACTGCAATACCCTGCCTGCTGCAGCTGCTAAGTCACTTCAGTCATGTCTGACTTTGTGTGACCCCATAGACAGCAGCCCACCTGGCTCCTCTGTCCCTGGGATTCTCCAGAAAAGAATACTGGAGTGGGTGGCCATTTCCTTTTCCAAATACCCTACCTAGGTGGTTCCTTCTATCATAAACGTTCTTCTGGATACTTGGAAACTGAAATCTAGGACATAGGTCCATTATGAAGGGAAAATGCACCCCTGGTTTCTGATATCTGCTTAGTGTGATTGAGAGAAGTAAATGTGATCCAGCAAGAGTGCATGATTCTAGAAGGATGTGTTGATTTGGGTAGTTGCTGGGGAATTTTAGAGACATGTTTATAAAGTCAAATATGAACTTGAATTTCTGGATGATTCAGTTTGAGTTATTTCTGTATGCAAAGTTGTACAAATGATCAGAAATAAAGAGACTTTCATTGTAAATGAAAAAATGTTGTCCATGATATTATCATGCTTTCTGTGTTTACATCTCCAGAATTTCCAGTTACTGATGCAAGTGAAAAGCACTCCATAGACTATGATCTGAAACTCCATCATTCCCTTATTAGTTTTTTCCTTTTGATTTCCTTACTTTCTTCTACTGGTTAATACAAGCAACAAAGGAAACCTACTCAGCGTCCTCAAAAACACATCCCAGTTGGAAACAAGATGGCAGAGGGGTAGGTGGATGTGGAGTACATCTCTGTCTACAGGTACATCAGGAATATACCTTCAGACACAGAAGTGCTTGCAGAACTCCAGCTGAGAGTAGGCAGGAGTACCTGACCACTGGAAAAGAATATATAGAACCACATAAAACTCAGTAGGATGAAGGAACTAGGGGGAAAAACCAGAGTGTTAGTAGGACTGGACCTGCCCTCAGTGGGTGGGGGAACTGAAACAGGGGTCTGGTCCCCACACTGGGGCAATTGCCTTGGTCAGAGAAGAAACATTTGAGGCTGAGAGTGAAGAAGCTGATCTTTGACAGCCTAAATCAAATGAGAATCAGACAATCCTTGCCACAGCCCTATTTACCCCAGACAGGGATGCAGGTCACCTAGAAGGTGAAATAGCTAGGAGTTGGAGTTTAGGGATTGTGGAACAATCCCAGGGCAAGGGCTGCTGTTGACTGCTGGGAGACTGACCAAGGGGATGTGAGGGAGGAGATTGTGGTGAGAAATGTCTGTGGAGGAAAGCCAGGCAGCCATGGAAACAAGACAATACTGCTGAGTCATGCATAGGAGGTGGGGCCATCACCATAGCCTCTTTCTCCCCACCTGTCAGCATTGGCAGTTGAATAATAGAGAGGCTGCACATCAAGCGCCTGATGCATGGAACAACACAGTAGGACCCCACCCAGGGTGCCTGATGCAACGAACAACAGGGTGGGACCCCAGCCAGGGTGGCCAATTTATGTGCCTGAGGTGCTGAACAGCAGAGAAGGACCCCAGGCAAGGGAACCCTCTAAGTACCTGAACCAGTGGAGCAATGGAGAAAGACTAGCCAAAGAGGCCTGATCGCCAGCTGCCAGAGGCTCCAAAAGACTCTGTTAGGGCCATAACTCCTGCAGCTGAGGCAGTCCATGTCCCTGCACACTTGGCGCCGCCAGGGTTCCCATGACCCAAGCAGCTGTGCCACGTTCAGGCTCAGCCCTCACCTCACTGGGGCAGCGCTGCCATAGGCAGGAAAAGTCTTGCTTCTATGTATGTGGGGTTGCTTTAGTCGTGTCCAACTCTTTGCAATCCTGTGGACTGTGGCTTGCCAGGCTTCTCGGTCAGTGGGGTTCTCCAGGCAACAATACTGGAGTGGGTTGCCTTACCCTTCTAGAGCACTATTTTTCCTGTTTCTCTAGCCACCACCTCCCCTGAGTACCTGGTGATGCCAGCGCCCCTGCGACCCAAGCACCTGCACCACTTCAACACTTGATACTCACTGAGGCAGACTTAAGTCCTCCAGGACAGCCCCAGGAGCAAATGCCAGTGGATGACCCACATACAGAGGTGAAGATGAAATCACAATTGAAACCCATGGGCAGTGTGGATAAGCAAGAGGACCCAAAACCTTCCCACCAGTTGTGCAAGCTGCAGGTTAAATCCACACAATCAACTAGGCAGACTCTGTCTACGGAATATATAAAAGGACATTGAGAGCTCCCACAAAAGAAAACACACTTGTTCTGACAGCTGTGGACAGTGGAGGCAAGAACACACAGGAGTAGGACCAGATCAGAGTTTGAGCTGGCGCCACAGCATGTTCAGAGACCAGCACAGTGTTGGAGGGCGTCCTAGGGAGACAAGGTGGACTGTTATGCCCAGCGCGGGAAGGGACACTGACAGCAAAAGCTCAAGAAAAGCGTTTATTAGTCGTATATTTTGACTTTTTCCGCGGTTTCTTCTGATTTTTTCCCCTTTTTCCTCCCTCTGTTGTAGTTGTCGGTTTTATTAGCACTATGAAACCTATTTATGCTTTTGAGATGTTTTTAATCATACTTTTTGGTTCTGTTATAAACTTCTGCCTTTATGTTGCCCTTTTGCAGTTCTATAAAGTTTTCCTTTTGTACTTTTTCCCCCTTTTTTTAATTTAAATTTTTAATTTTTTAAAGCCTATTATTTTTCTACATTTATTGCTTTGTTTGCTTTTCCTACTGTTCTTTTCCTCTTAATCTTTATATATATATGTGTGTATATATATATATATATATACACATATATATATAAATCTTCTTTATCTACCTCTATCTAACTTTGCATTTCTATTCTTTCTTTCTTTTCTTTCTTTTTCTCACCATATTTGTTCATTTTGCTTTCATTACCTTTTTATTTCAAATTTGGTACCTTGCTTTAGTTTTGTTTTCCAGTTTGTGCCTTAGTTTTGTTCTTTTTTTTTTTCATTTATTTTTATTAATTGGAGGCTAATTACTTTACAATATTGTAGTGGTTTTTGTCATACATTGACATGAATCAGCCATGGATTTACATGTATTCCCCATCCCGGTCCCCCCTCCCACCTCCCTCTCCACCCGATCCCTCTGGGTCTTCCCAGTGCACCAGACCCAAGCACTTGTCTCATGCATCCAGGTGATCTGTTTCACTATAGATAATATACATTTTTTTTTATTAGTTGGAGGCTATTTACTTTACAATATTGTAGTGGGTTTTGTCATACATTGACATGAATCAGCCATGGATTTACATGTGTTCTGTTCTTAATTGATGGATATCATTTTTGGTTTCCTTTGTTCACTGGGTCAATCTATTGTACTTTATTTTTGTTGGACTATTTGATTCTGCTTATGAGTGTATGTGTTTTGTGTATGTTGTTTTAATTATTATTTGCCTGATTTTGTAATTGCTATTTGTCTGGGATTTGTCTTTCATTTCTCATTTTGGGGTATTTGTTTTAAACCCATCTAATGTCATAAAAAACCACCTGTGAAATCTCCATTCCTGGCCAGAGATCAAGCCCCAAGCCTTTGAAGTGGGAGTGCTGACTCCAAGACCCTAGACTACCAAAGAAATCCTAACCCTAGGGAGTATCAAAGAGTGAGAACTCCCACGAATGCAAACACTTGTATATAAGACCGAGCATCACCCAACTACCAGCAGCACCCTGTGCAGGCCACCTCATCCAAACAACAAATAAGACAAAAATAAAAACCCAATCATCAGCAGACAGGATTACTAGCTCACTCAGCCCTGTTCATCAGAGGGAAAAATAAAACTCACCTCCTCCCACTAGAATGTAAGCACAAAGCTATACTTTACATGCAGCTCACACAAACCACTGGACCAATCTTTAGAGGGCAGAAACCAAAAGAAAGAAAGAGTTCAGCCTTGAAACCTGGGAAAAGGAGACCTCAGACACAATAAGTTAAAAAAAATAATGAAAAGGCACAGAAATACTGCACAAATGAAGGAACAAACTAGAAACACACAAGTCCAAATAAGTTAAGAGGAAATAGGCAAACTACCTGAAAAAGAATTCAGAATAATGATAGAAAGATGATCCAAAATCTTGAAAATAAAATGGAGGAAATGCAAGAATCGATTAACAAAGACCTAGAAGAATTAAAGGATAAACATGAAGAAACAAACAATTACTGAAATTAAAAATACTCTAGAAGGAATCAAGAGAAGAATATCTGAAGCAGAAGAATGGATTAGTGATCCAGAAGATAAAATGGTGTGGAAATAATTGATGAAGAGCAGAGTAAAGTAAAAAGAATGAAAAGAACTGAGCATAATCTCAGAGATCTCTGGGACAGATTAAGTGCACCAACATTCGAATTATAGGGGTCCCAGAAGAAGAAGAAAAAAAGAAAGGGTATGAAAGAATGTTTGAAGAGATTATAGTTGAGTTTGACCAAGCTCTGGGAGTTGGTGATGGACAGGGAAGCCTGGTGTGCTGCAGTCCATTGGATCACAAAGAGTTGGACATGAATGAGTGACTGAACTGAACTGACAGTTGAAAATTTTCCCAACATTGAAAAGCAAATAGTCAATCAAGTCCAAGAGGTACAAAGAGTCCCATACAGGATAAACCCAAAGAGAAACACACCAAGGCAAATACTACTCGAACTAACAAAGATTAAACACAAAGAAAGACTATTAAAAGCAGCAAGGGAAACCCCATATGCTTAACAGCTTATCTTTCAGCAGAAACTCTGCAGGCCAGAAGGGAATGGCAGGATATATTTAAAGTACTGAAAGGGGAAAATGTACAATGAAGATAACTCTACCCAGCAAGGATCTCATTCAAAACTGGTGGAGAAATCAAAAGCTTTACAGAGAAGCAAAAATTAAGAGAATTCAGTTCCATCAAACCAGCTTTACAACAAATATTAAAGGGACTTATATACTCAGGAAATACAAGAGAGGAAAAAGATCTACAAAAACAAACCCCAAACAATTAAGAAAATGGCAATAAGAACATTTATATCATGCAATCATTCAGTTTATTCACTCAGTCCTGTCCGACTCTTTACAACCCCATGGACTGCAGCATGCCAGCCTTCCCTGATCATCACCAACTCCTGGAGCTTGCTGAAATTCATGTCCATCTAGTCGATAGTGCCATCCAACCATCTCTTCCTCAGTCATCCCCTTCTCCTCCTGCCTTCAACCTTTCCCAGCATTAGGGTCTTTTCCAGTGAGTCAGTTCTTCACATCAGGTGGTCAGAGTATTGAAATTTCAGCTTCAGCATCAGTCCTTCTAATGAACCAGGACTGATTTCCTTCAGGATTGACTGGTTTGATCTCCTTGCAGTCCAAGGGACTCTCAAGAGTCTTCTCCAACACCACAGGTCAAAAGCATCAATTCTTCACTGCTCAGTTTTCTTTATAGTCCAAATTTCACATCCAAATGTGACTACTGGAAAAACCATAGCTTTGACTAGATGGACCTTTGTCAGCAAAGTAATGTCTCTGCTTTTTAATATGCTGTCTAGTTTAGTCATAGCTTTTCTTCCAAAGAGTGTCTTTTAATTTCATGGCTGCAGTCACCATCTTCAGTTATTTTGGAGCCCCCCCCCAAATAAAGTTTGTCACTGTTTCCATTGTTTCCCCATTTATTTGCCATGAAGTGATGGGATGGGATGACATGATCTTCATTTTTTAAATGTTAAGCCAACTTTTTCACTCTCCTCTTTCATTTTCATCAAGAGGCTCTTCAGTTCTTCTTTGCTTTCTGCCATAAGGGTGGTGTCATCTACATATCTGAGGTTATTGATATTTCTCCTGGCAATCTTGATTCCAGCTTGTGTTTCATCCAGCCAGGCATTTTGCATGATGTACTCTGCATCGAAGTTAAATAAGCAGGGTGACAATATACAGCCTTGACGTACTTCTTGTCCAATCTGGAACCAGTCTTTTGTTCCATGTCTGATTCTAACTGTTGCTTCTTGACCTGCATACAGTTTTCTCAGAAGGCAGGTAAGGTGGTATAGTACTCCCATCTCTTTAAGAATTTTCCATAGTTTGTTGTTATCCACACAGTGAAAGTCTTTGTTGTAATCAATAAAGCAGAAATAGATGTTTTTCTGGAACTCTCTTGTTTTTTTGATGATCCAACGGATGTTGGCAATTTGATCTCTGGTTCCTCTGCCTTTTTTAAATCCAGCTTGAACATCTGGAAGCTCATGGTTCACATACTGTTGAAGCAGGGCTTGGAGAATTTTGAACATTATTTTGCTAGCATGTGAGATCTTTCTAAAGAGAAGATGAGCACATGTCCTTCTACTCTGCCAGCAGTAAATAAATAGATATACATCAATAATTATTTTAAATGCAAATGGATTAAATACTCCAGCAAAAAGACACAGACTGGCTGAATGGATACAAAAGCATGACCCATATATATGCTGTCTACAAGAAACCCACTTCAGATCTAAAGACACATATAGACTGAAAGAGAGGATTGAAAAATATATTGCATGCAAATGGGAATCAAAAGAAAGCTGGAGTAGCAATTCTCATATCAGACAAAATAGACCTTAAAATAAAGAATATTGCAAAAGATAAGGAAGGACACTACATAATGATCAAGAGACCAATCCAACAGTAAGACATAACAATTGTAAATATCTACGCACCCAACATAGGAACACCTCAATACATAAGACAAACACTAACAGACATAAAAGGAGAATTTGACAGTAGCACAATAATAGTAAGAAATTTTAACACCCCACCTACACCAATGGACAGATCATCACAACAGAAAATTAATAAGGAAACACAAGTCTTAAGTGATATGTTACACAAGATAGCTCTCATTGATATCTTCAGGACATTCCACCCAAATGCAGAAGAATACACCTTCTTCTCAAGTGCACATGGAACATTCTCCAGGATAGACCACATCTTGGGTCTCAAATCAAACCTCAGTAAATTTAAGAAAATTGAAATCATATCAAGTATCTTTTCTGACCACAATGCTATGAGACTAGGTATCAGTTATAAGAAAAAAACTCTGTCCTGATCTCCCCTCCCACCTCCCTCTCTACCCAATCCCTCTGGGTCTTCCCAGTGTGCCAGGCCCAAGCATCGGGATGGGGAATACATGTAAATCCATGGTTGATTCATGTCAATGTATGACAAGACCCACTGCGGTATTGTAAAATGATTAGCCTCCAACTAATAAAAATAAATTAAAAAAAAAAAAAAGCATAAGGAAAGACAACAGTGAATAAAACAACTAAATGCAAACTGTGCATTTAAAAATGCAACTGTGAATAAAGTAACTAAAGTAAATTAAAAAAAAGAAGAAAAACTCTGAAAAGCACAAACACATGGAGATTAACCAATACTTTTCTAAATAATGAACAGGTTACTGATGAAATTGAAAGGGAAATCAAAAGATTGGAAGGCGGATTCTTTGCCACTGAGCCACCTGGGGAGCCCCCATAAGTGACCCTATTAGTAGAGCTCAGTCAGCATTCATAGAGTGAATCCATGGTTGAATATTTGACTCCCTTCCTACCATGTATTCCTTCCTGAATGAGTATCTGATTCAGTCAAATCACCTGATTATAAGCAAAGATCCAATCAGGATTTAGCTGACGGACATTTGGAAATCTAATCAAGCCTCACTTTCTGATTGGATGTACAGAGGAAAGATGTGATCAGAAAGGCCAATAAAAACCTGAGGCATCAGGAAGAGGTGTAGAAACTTCTTCCTCTGGAGTCACTGTCTGCCTTCTCCACCAGATCTGACCTCTAAGCACCCTGTCAACCTCAGTAGAGCTGGTAAGTTACAGACCTCAGCAAAGGACCCCTCCTCTTACCTATGGTCAGCGGGTTTCCACTGGTGGCATGCAGCAGTGGATGTCAGGGAGATTTCTTTATTTTCAGATGTATACATGTATACTTTGATTTTACCTCTAAGTGTAACTTTGCATTAATCCCCAACATTTTGTTATGTGCTTTCCCTTATATCATCTAAAAATATCTTAACCAATGAGATTTTATTTTTTAATGAAAACATCTAAATTTTTGAAATTTTATTTCTTGACATTAAAAATATCCAGTTTGTGCAAATGATATTTATTTAAGGAGTATCTGTTTCATGTTTCTAGTTCAATAACTGTGGGAACTGAGGATGGAGGCTGTGTTGGGCTACATGATGCTCTTATTCCCATGGTTTTAAGGCTCTAAGTGATGATTTAAATATTTTCCCCCAAAAAAGATGGGACTTAACCTTCAGCTCTTGGTACATACTTCCCACTGAAACCTGATTAAGCAAAGCAGTGAATGGATATGAATGGACTAGTGGGTTGGGTTTCTTCCTTCGTGAAGTGAAGTCACTCAGTCTTGTCCGACTCTTTGTGACCCCACGGACTGTAGCCTATCAGGCTTCTCAGTCCATGGGATTTTCCAGGCAAGAGTACTGGAGTGGGTTGCCATTTGGTGTCTGTGGGGCATAGCTATCGCTTTTTCCTTACTAAGCCTGAACTGAAGTGAAATTGAAAAATTGCGGCTATTCCACAACTATCAGAGCAGAGACTTTCACTCAGAGATGGTTCCTCTGAAGGGTGGGGAGACAGATGAAGGGGTGTTCATGCTTACCTGAGAATGATGCCTTCTTTCCTGCAAGTTCTCACAGGATTCCTTTAGGAGTAGATTCAGGATGAGTGTCCGGAACCCCCTGAGACTCCTGAACCTGGCAGGGAAGAGCCTACTAACTGACGAGGCCTTGGCCATTTCTGCTCTGGAGTATCTGCCCATCGAGCTCTTCCCCCCACTCTTCATGGAAGCATTCTGTGGAAGACGCAGAAAGACCCTAAAGGCCCTGGTGCAAGCCTGGCCCTTTGTCCGCCTGCCTCTGGGGGGCCTGATGCAGACGCCTCATCTGGGAACCTTACAAGCAGTGCTGGATGGACTCGATGTCCTGCTTGCACAGAAAGATCACCCCAGGTGAGTCTGATGCAGATAATCTGATAGGTCATGAGCAGTCAAGAAGAGACAGCTGACATCAGGAGAGTAGATGGCACGTGTATGGACCAGTCGCTTCTGGTGATGCCAATGAAGAAACACAGAGACTTGGTCATTACTGAGCTCACTTTGGGAAATGCCTTCCAGCAGTGTGGAAGTGCCTAAGATGCAAGGAAACGTGAAAGTACAAGTGCCAGCCTCTTCACAGGGATGCTTAAGGGCACTAGAGTAGAAAGTAAGGGAAAAGTGAAATGGAAAAGGAGGTGGAGGAAGGTGAGGCAGAGAGGGAAGAAGAGGACAAGGTAGCTTGTGACATTGGGAATGTGGAGTAAAAGCTCAGGTGGGAAGTCAGTGTTGCCTAAATTTTTTGTGGATCTTAGAATCATCACTGCCAATTTGCTGTTTCCCCATAGGAGGTGCAAACTGCGTGTGCTGGATTTAAGGAATACTGGCCAGGACTTCTGGAGAATGTGGTCTGTATCCAGTGTCCATGTGTCCCCAAGCTCTTCAATGGCACCAGGGGCTGAGGACAGGTCGAGGACCGAGCAGCCCTCGGCTCCCTTTGAGGTGTTCATAGAACTTCACCTCAAGGAAAGGAGCATGGATGGATTCCTTACCTACATTATGAGATGGGTGGAACAGAGGAAAGCTTCCATACACCTATGTTGTAAGAAACTGAGGATTATTTCATCTTCCATGGATAGTATTACGAAGGTCCTGAGTATGGTGCAGCTGGACTGTATCCAGGAGTTACATGTGAATTGCACCTGGCATCTATCCACCCTGGCCATGTTTGCTCCTCTCCTGGGCCAGATGAGCAATTTGCAGAAACTCCTCATCTCCCACATCCACCTGCCTGATCCTGAGGAGCAGGAGGAAGAGCACGTTGTCAAAATTACTTCTCAGTTCCTGAGGCTGCACTGCCTCCGGGATCTCCATCTGCAATCTCCCTTCTACCTCGAAGGCTGCCTGGACCAGATGCTCAGGTGAGTGTGCACCACTGACCAAGTAACAGTGAACCCAACACTAGAATATCAAATGCACTGTCCCCTTTGTTGCTCCACTGTGAACTATGGTATCACATAACCACACAAATCTAGGTAGGGGTCCAAACTGGGAGAGAGTCTCTTGAAAGGGGCACTATGATAGGAAGCTCTAGACTAAGGGTTAGAATCTAGGGGGTGGGTATTCGATTTCTTAGGAAGAGATATCTTTCCTAGATGACTTAGGAAAATAGGTAAGGAAAGAGGGCATTGAACACAGAGTACTCCTCTAGCCCTGAGCATTTCTAAACTGATGCTCTGTGTTCAGTTTTGTGACCACGACGAGCCTATCTCAAATTCCCTGTCTGCAAAAGGTTGTTTTTTTTTTTCTCCAGATATGGTAAATAATATATGGGAAATGCATGATTCTGGAGATGATGGTAATAGGGCAGGAGTCAAAGGGATCATAAAAATTGGTATATGACTTGCAGATAAAGCAGGGATGTAAATGAACCGTTGCAGACTGGCATCCTCTGTGGATGCTGTGGGATTTTGACCAGGTTTGTCCCCTATGCATGTCACCCAGAAGCCTCACCTGCCTGAGATGGATGTCTGGAGCCCAAGCATGTTTGGAAAGTAGCCTGCCTAGTTAGCCTGCCTAATAAGTATATCTCTTACTATTAACATTCAGTGATGTCCACTCTTTACTGAGACAAGATGTCAGGCTCTCCTCTAAGTTTGCCTGGTACATTCCATTATCTTCATTCCTCTTTGTAAAGAAGCAGAGTACAGTTTTCTCTGCTTGAGTACTGAGGAGAGGAAGCATTTAAAACTCTGTGTACTTGACCCAGTCCCACAGAGGAGGTGAAATGACTGTCTACAATGAGATTAGCCATTCTGAGTATTAATCTTACTAGATGATCAGACCAAACTTGGGCTTGGGAAGATCACTTGTCTCTCAACTTGTGATCAACTTCCACCTCAGTTTCCAATACCTAATTCCTCTCTTTCTCCCCAGGTATCTAATGACCTCCTTGGACAACCTTGAGATAACTCACTGCCTGCTTACAGATTCAGACCTGACCCATCTATCCCAGAGCCCGAATATCAGTCACCTAAGGGGCCTGGATCTGAGTGGGGTTACCATGACCTACTCTAGTTCTGAGCTCCTCCCAGCTCTGCTGGAGAAAATGGCATCTACCCTCCAGGAACTGTACTTAGAGGAGTGTGGGATCAGGGACTCCCACCTTGAAGCCATCCTGCCAGCCCTGAGCCACTGCATCCAGCTCACTTGCTTCAATCTCTGTGGTAACCTCCTCTCCATGGCCATCATGGAGAAGCTGCTGCAACACACCTCTGGGTTGCCCAGTTTAAGTCAAGAGCTGTACCCTGTGCCTCGGGAAAGTTTCAGCTCTGACGGGATCCTCCAACCTGGGAGACTTGCCCAGTGTCAGACTGAACTGCTTGAGATTCTGAAGCACTTGAGACATCCTAGGACCATCTGGATTAGCGCCACACCCTGCCCACACTGTGGAGATAACACATTCTATCGTCCTGAACCCATCATATACGGTGGTAACACCCTTGCCTAGTTTGGTGCATCAATCAAAGCTTTCTTCTGAGCACTTGGAAACTGAGATCTAGGACAAGATACATCATGAAGGGAAAATAGAGCTTGTTTCAGACATCTGCTCAATGTGAATGTGAAAAGGAAAGGCGACCCTGCAGGGGGAGCAGGACTGCAGGGGGAAATGTAGTCTTCTTCGTAAAGGAATGCTTGTGGACATGTATCCTGTAGTGTCATAACTAGGAACCTAAATTTCTTTAGGTGGATTCAAGCTTGAGACTCACATGTTGGAGTTATCCCTGGGTAAATAGTTGTAAAGAAATGGTCAGAAATAAGAGACCCTCATTGTAAATGGATTGCTGTCATCCATGATGTATCATCTTAATTTTTCAGTTTTTACTACAGGAATCTCCGGACACTGATTGTTTTTTTTAAAGGCACTGAGTTGTCTCTGATTCAAAACCATTCCAACCAGTTCTTTATTCTTTGGGGCATCTCTGACCTCTGTTTTTACTTCTGGGGCTGTTCAGTGGGTTAATAAACACAGAGAGGAGCATACTCAGCGTCCAATGGGGCACTCGCATGAAAGCCCAGGCAGACCTTTACGGCTGACTCAGGCCATGACCCTGGTCATGAACAGTCCTCATCATTTCCTGGTCCCTCCATAAGTTTCAGTTTTTGACCTTTATTTGTGGGAGGAAAGGGTTTAGTTGCAAAAGGCATGGGTACCAATTCTAGAAGGGGACTTCTGGACTTCAGATGAGCTGAACTTTTGGACTTTGCCAACTCATTACCCAGGTGGATAATGATTTTTCTTAATTAATCTTTTGGGCTAGGGAAGTTATATAAATATCTTTTAGCAAAACGCACAAATCATAGAGGCATATAATATGGTTTTAGTATTTCTATAACTCATTAAAATTATATTCAAGGACAGGGAATCCTGGCTTGCTGTAGTCCAAAGAGTAGGACACACAACTGAGCGACTGAACAACAAAAAATATAAATGCGTAGGATGTAAAATAAATAACACTTGCAGGCAGTATATATTTTCACATAAATTGCCTATGACCTGAAATAGTGAATGATTGTTATAGGGAATTTTATGCAAGAGTGGATTACATTATAAGGCCCACCTGTATTTTACTTTAACATACTATAGAAAGCACCAACTTCTTATGTGCTGTGTGATTTTTCAAGAAAAAGAAAATCATGAGCCACAAATGTCTTCCACCTTTCTGTACAATCTTTCTATCCGATTCATGTGTGTCTGAGTCAATTCAGGCCATTATAACAATTCAATGGACTGAGGGGTTTAAACAAAGAAAATTTACATCTTCCAATTCTGGAGGCTGGAAGACTGAGATCAGAGAGGCAGTAAGGTCGGGTTATGGAGGGAAAAAGCTTCCTAGTTTCCTCATTTCGTAGGGGGAGGGAAGCTCAAGTCTCTTCATTTTATTCTTTCTTTTTTCATTTTTAAATTTTTTTTCATTTACTTTTATTAGTTGGAGGCTATTTACTTTACAGTATTGTGGTGTGTTTTGCCATACATTGATATGAAGCTGCCATAGATTTACATGTGTTCCCCATCCTGAAACCCCCCCCACCTCCCTCCCCATCACATCCCTTCAGGTCATCCCAGTGCACCAGTAGTGAGCACTTGTCTCGTGCATCCAACCTGGACTGGTGATCTGTTTTACACTTGATAATATACGTTTCAATGCTATTCTCTCAGATCATCCTACCCTCGCCTTCTCCCACAGAGTCTAAAAGTCTGTTCTGTACATCTGTGTCTCTTTTTCTGTTTTGCATATAGGGTTATCATTACCATCTTTTAAAATTTCATATATATGCATTAGTATACTGTATTAGTGTTTATTTTTCTAGCTTACTTCACTCTGCATAATGGGCTCCAGTTTCATCCATCTCATTAGAACTGATTCAAACGAATTCTTTTTAATGACTGAGTAATATTCCATAGTGTATATGTACCATAGCTTCCTTATCCATTCGTCTGCTGATGGGCATCTAGGTTGCTTCCATGTCCTGACAATTATATACAGTGCCGTGATGAACATTGGGGTGCACCTGTCTCTTTCAGACCTGGTTTCCTCAGTGTGTATGACCAGAGTGGGATTGCTGGGTCATATGGCAGTTCTATTTCCAGTTTTTTAAGAAATCTCCACACTGTTTTCCATAGCGGCTGTACTAGTTTGCATTCCCACCAACAGTGTAAGGGGGTTCCCTTTTCTCCACACCCTCTCCAGCATTTATTGCTTGTAGACTAGTGGTTGACCAGTTTTCCCAGCACCACTTGTTAAAGAGGTTGTCTTTTTTCCATTGTATATTCTTGCCTCCTTTGTTGAAGATAAGATGTCCATAGGTTCGTGGATTTATCTCTTGGCTTTCTATTCTGTTCCATTGATCTATATTTCTGTCTTTGTGCCAGTATGATATTGTCTTAATGACTGTGGCTTCGTAGTATAGTCTGAAGTCAGGCAGGTTGATTCCTCCAGTTCCATTCTTCTTTCTCAAGATTGCTTTGGCTATTCGAGGTTTTTTATATTTCCATACAAATTGTGAAATTATTTGTTCTAGTTCTGTGCAAAATACCATTGGTAGCTTGATAGGGATTGCATTGAATCTATAGATTGCTTTGGGTAGTGTACTCGTTTTCACAATATTGCTTCTTTTGATCCATGAACATGGTATATTTCTCCATCTATTTGTGTCCTCTTTGATTCTGTGAATCTCTGTGGGTGTTTTGGGCTGCAGAGAACACTTAGGGAACAGAGTACTGCCTGGATCTGTCTCTCTCCTCTTGAGTCCCCCTTTTTCTCCTCTTGCTCACCTCTATCTCCTTCCTCCCCCTGCTCTTCTTCATGTAACTCTGTGAACCTCTCTGGGTGTCCCTTGCTGTGGAGAATCTTTTCACCATTAACCTATAAGTTTTATTATCAGTGCTGTATGGATGGAGAAGTCTTGAGGCTACTGGAGGAACAAGACTGAAATCCAGAGACAGGAGGCTTAAGCCCAAAACCTGAGAACACCAGAGAACTCCTGACTACAGGGAACACTAATAAGAGATCATCCAAAAGCCTCCATACCTACACTGAAACCAACCACTATCCAAGAGTCAATAAATTCCAGAGCAAGACATACCACACAAATTCTCCAGCAACACAGGAATATAGCCCTGAGCGTCAATATACAGGCTGCCCAAAGCCACACCAAACCCATAGATCCATCTCAAAACTCACTACTGGACACTCCATTACACTCCAGAGAGAAGAAATCCAACTCCACCCACCAGAACACCAGGGCAAGCTTCCCTAACCAGGAAACCTTGACAAGCCAATTGTCCAACCCCACCTAATGGGAGAAATCTCCACAATAAAAAAGAACCACAGACTACCAGAATACAAAAAGGCCACCCCAAACCCAGAAATCTAAATAAGATGAAAAGGCAGAGAAACACCCAGCAGGTAAAGGAACATGAAAAATGCCCACCAAACCAAACAAAAGAGGAGGAGATAGGGAATCTACCTGAAAAAGACTTTAGAATAATGATAATAAAAATGATCCAATCTTGAAAACAAAATGGAGTTACAGGTAAGTAGACTGGAGACAAGGATTGAGAAGATGCAAGAAATGTTTAACAAGGACCTAGAAGAAATAGAAAAGAGTCAATAAAAATGAATAATGCAATAAATGAGATTAAAAACACTCTGGAGGGAACCAAGAGTAGAATAACGGAGACAGAAGATAGGATAAGTGAGGTAGAAGATAAAATGGTAGAAATAAGTGAAGCAAAGAGTAAAAAAGAAAAAAGAATCAAAAGAAATGAGGACAACCTCAGGGACCTCTGGGACAATGTGAAATGCCCCAACATTTGAATCACAGGAGTCCCAGAAGAAGAAGACAAAAAGTAAGGCCACGAGAAAATACTCAAGGAGATAATAGCTGAAAACTTCCCCAAAGTGGGGAAGGAAATAGTAACACAAGTCCAAGAAACCCAGAGAGTCCCAAACAGGATAAACCCAAGGCTAAACACCCCAAGACACATATTAATCAAATTAACGAAGATCAAACACAAAGAACAAATGTTAAAAGCAGCAAGGGAGAAACAACTAATAACACACAAGAGGATTCCCATAAGGATAACAGCTTATCTTTCAATAGAAACTATTCAGGCCAGAAGGGAATGTCAGGACATACTTAAAGTGATGAAAGAGAATAACCTACAACCCAGATAACTGTACCCAGCAAGGATCTCATTCAGATATGAAGGAGAATTCAAAAGCTTTACAGACAAGCAAAAGCTGAGAGAATTCAGCACCATCAAACCAGCTCTTCAACAAATGCTAAAGGATATTCTCTAGACAGAAAACAGAGAAAGGTTGTATAAACGCGAACCCTAAACAACAAAGTAACTGGCAATGGGACCATCAGTCAGTTCAGTTCAGTTCAGTCGCTCAGTCGTGCCCTACTCTTTGTGACCCCACGAATTGCAGCACACCAGGCCTCACTGTCCATCACCAACTCCCGGAGTTGACTCAAACTCACACCCATCGAGTCGGTGATGCCATCCAGCCATCTCATACTCTGCCGTCCCCTCCTCCTCCTGCCACCAATCCCTCCCAGCATCAGAGTCTTTTCCAATGAGTCAACTCTTCGCATGAGGTGGCCAAAGTACTGGAATTTCAGCTTCAGCATCAGTCCTTCCAATGAACACCCAGGACTGATCTCCTTCAGGATGGACTGGTTGGATCTCCTTGCAGTCCAAGGGACTCTCAAGAGTCTTCTCCAACACCACAGTTCAAAAGCATCAATTTTTTGGCGCTCAGCTTTCTTCACAGTCCAACTCTCACATCCATACATGACCACTGGAAAAACCATAGCTTTGACCAGACAGACCTTTGTTGGCAAAGTAATGTCTGGGCCTTTTAATATGCTATCTAGATTGGTCATAACTTTGCTTCCAAGGAGTAAGCGTCTTTTAATTTCA